TCTAAGCACAACAAATATTTTATATGGATGATCTAGTGTGAGATCCACAATAAAAGGTAACGCAAAAAGGGTTACATAGAGTCATATAGGACATTCTTGAAAAAAGATGATGGTGGTAGTGAGCAAGTAGTATTTCACGAAAATGAATCATCAGATATTGTTGTGCCAATACAACGGGAAGATATTGATACTCAAGTATGCCATAGAGGAGATGTTGCTCCAGATATTATTGAAAATGCAGCACTACAAATATTGGTGGAATCAACAAATAAAAATATGAATATAAGATACTTGAGGAAGATGATACATTGAATGAAAATTACACTGAATATAAGAAATCTCTAAATAGTAAAGATGATAATGATGAAGTGATATTGGTAATTAAAACATGTTTTATATGTATTTGTTTACTTTATTTTTAATGACTATCTACATTTGTTTCCTTTCCTGTGTAGATTCTAGTACAGATGATGCATCTTCAGAAAGTTGATAAGAGATTTCAGATGGTTTGCATGCTATTTAAGGTTTTAAGGAACAATAATTTTATTGACATTTTCCAATCACACATTTATGAATTTTTATTGACATTTAAGGTTAGAGTGACTAACTGATGAGATATACTTCACTGCTTATTGTGATGGTGGTTGATCTTGTGCTAACATTCAATATGATTATAGAAGCTCACAATTACATCATACATTCATTTAGTCTAGATCAGAATATGAATTCAGTTTATTGTGTTGGAAAATTATTTGATTTTCCACGTGGGCCGACATATGTAATTAATTGTGTATAAATGCTATCTTAAAGTTAAGCCCAAAATTAAAGTGAACCAATAAAGAGTTAAATAATTGAGCTTTGAGCATCTAAATAAAGTATGTGCCGGATTATATGTGTAGAAATCAGATCCATTATGGTTTTTATTTGACGATGGGCTGAATATATATGAAACTATATATAGGGTTATGGTCCCCAATTCATATACAATTTTCTCATTCTTTGTGCCATCCCATCAACATAAGAATTAATAGAGAAAGCATATTGAGGAGGAAGATCCAAAACTCACAATCAAGAAATCAAGATTTAAAGATCCAAATTCAAAATTCAAGATTTATTATTCAAAATACAAATCAATGAATCAATATATGTTCCGCATTAATTAATTTTCTTGGTGATTTGACATTGAGATCTTGGCAATGATGTAAAGTTTATAAATTTCAAGTTTCATGAAAAAAATTCAACAAGCGGTATCAGAGCCAATCCATGTTAAAACATTGAGATTAAATGAAGAATTTTAGGGTTGAAGTTCACAATTAGGTTTCCTGAAAAATTTGGGATGTGAATTTCAAGCCCTAGATTTCAAAATATGGTTTTCTAGTAAATTTTTTGGCATTACAGCATCGTTGCAGCGCTGCGATGGGATTAAGGCCGCTCCTCTAGCGCCCATCACCGGGCGCTGCTATGCCCGGATTTTGCTGGGCATTGCAACGCCTGTTTACTGTNGGAGCTGCAGCGTAGCAGAACCAACGGGCACTACAGGCACCGCACGGTGCTGCGTCACAAGCACCATTGTGCGTTTGGGGCAGCACCATGCAGCTACTATCTCTAAGGACAAGTTCAAGAAAAGAAAAAATAAGGAAGCTACACCCAGTCCGGCTCAAAAGAAGCAGCAAAAGCCTAAAAATGATGAATCATCTGGCCGTTACTTTTGTGGAATCCCGGGACACTTGAAAATGGATTGTACCAAATACCATGTTGGCGTGTAAAGAAAGGTACGTTTCTCACTTTGGTTTGTTTTAAAGTTATTTAGTTTCAGTACCTAGACATATTTGGTGGATCGTTTTCGATGTCACTACTCATATAAGTGTGTCTATGCAGGGTTGTCTGAATAGCGGAAAGCCAAATGATGCTAAAAGATTCATCTATGTGGGCGGCGGCAAATCAATTGAAGTAGAGGCTATAGGGAATTTTAGATTATTATTAAAGACCAATTTTTATTTGAATTTGAAAGAGACTTTTGTGGTACCGTCTTTTAATCGGAATTTGATTTCTATTTCTGTTTTAGACAAATTTGGTTATTCTTGTTCATTTAAAAACAATAAATTTAGTCTTTTTCTTGATTCAAATCTTGTGGGTATCGATTCTTTATCTGGATATGATAATATGTACTTGCTTAATTCAGTTGCCTTTTATAATGAATTATTGCATGTAAATTCACAAGGTATTAAATGTAAATTAACCATGAGAATTCCGCTTCATTATGGCACAAGTTTAGGTCACATTTCTTAGAAGAGAATTGAAAAACTTGTATCAAAAAGAATTCTTGATTCCTTTGATTTTTCAGACTTAAGTGTTTGCATAAATTGCATTAAGGGAAAACAAACAAACATAAGGAGATTAGGTGCCAATAAGATTTCAGACGTCTTAGAACTAATTCATACGGATATCTGTGGGACATTCCCTTTAACTTCTTGGAATGGTCAACAGTTATTTATTATGTTTGTAAACGATTATTCCCGTTATGGTTACCCGTATCTCATTCATGAGAAATCCCAATCACTGGATGTGTTTAAGGCTTATAAGGCTGAAGTTGAAAATCAACTCGGCAAAAGAATAAAACACTTTAGATCTAACCGTGGTGGTGAATGGTTCGTTGTCGTAGGCACCCAAAAATAGT